TTAATGGCCTGAATGGCCAGTTGTCGGCTATGAAAGGTATTCCACACTTTGCTTGTGATAAATATCTCTTCTCTGGAGATCTGTTTGGTGTCGAAGAGCTCTTTGAGTGCGAGTCCGACACCGACTTCATTGTTATATCTCCAGGCGGTGTCTATATGTCTATACCCGACACTAACGGCCTCCTTAACAGCACTGGTCGCCTGTTCGTCGTCCATAGTCCAGGTGCCCAAACCCAGGTTGGGAATCAGTTGTCCGTTGTTTAATTGAATCAATCCATACGATTGTTTGGCTATATTATAAACAATATTTAATAACAATATGCTTTGTGCAAACTTTGCAAAATGTGAGGTTTTTTAGATTTTTTAAAAACATTTTAAGTATTTAAATAATTATTTTATCAATGTGAAATAGTTCAATGAACTGACATATTATAATTGTAAGAATTATTAGTGTTTATAAAACTAAATAAATATTAAATACATTAATTATGATTAGTTTTTTAAATATATGTTAAATTCATTTTAATCTGGCAATTAATAGTACATACAATTACCCGATGCCGAGCACAACCAGACCAATAAAAACACACACGTAAACCCCATAATAACCCCCAATATCAACAATTTTATAGGTTTTGACATTTTTTAACAACAATTACATTTATTAGTTACTTAAATAAGTGGTAATAACACTAGAATCTTATGTGAAAACTATTTAGTGTTAAAAACAAAACAAAAAATCTGCGAAAAAATTACTTTTAAAACAAGTTCTAATTTAATTATTCATTTCATATTTGTTTCTGTTATCAAAAACAAAAGCAAATATTAATTATTTGAAAAATCTATTTTTGATTTAAAATTGAAGGACAACTCTTTGCTAAAAATTTTATTTCCAAATATCTGCAGCTTATAAACTAAAACAACAAAATGTTTTAAATAAAAATATTGAATATAAGGTACAAACTCATGAAAATACATTGATTTGCTATCAAACAAATTGATAAATAATAGCTGCAAAGTGTTATTAAAATTTGTTAAATTATAGATTATATTTTGTATGACATTAAAGCAATCAAATCGGGTGCGATTACCCTTCATTGAAAATGGCTTTAGGACTTAAGTTACTTTATAGATTTTATTAATCTATTCACAATTATTTGCCCCAATAATAGCTTATAATTTAACTTTAATTTACACCTCAAGTTATAAATGACAATATTATCTAGTTTATTATTAATTATAAGCAATTATGGAGACAATTAAAATAATTATAACACTATTTAATATTAATTATTTTAATACAATATAGTGTATATTTTAATATTTTTAATTTAATTAATACGAAAATTATTATTTAAAACTATTCAAATTTGTATAAAAAATTTATTTTTATAAACAGATATTAATATATAAAAGTAAATTAAAAATCTTTAATATTTCAAATTTACATTATAATAAAATCGTATTTAAATTATTATTATTTTATTTATTCATTTAATATTTTGTATACATATTCATTAAACTTGTAGTAATAATAAACATATTATTATGCAATCTCTTATTGTGAACCAAATGGCCATTCAAATGGGTAATTAGGGTTATACCTGGCATTTTCAAACTTGGTTATTCTAAAATTCTTATTTAATGCAAATATTTTGTTCATCTCTTCGTCGCTCAATTGAAAATCAAAAATATTAAAATTCTCAATCAGTCGCTCCTTTTTGGTTGTCTTCGGTATGACAATGATATTCCTCTGCACTAACCATCGCATAATCACCTGCGGAACTGTCTTCTCGTGTTTGGCCGCCATCTCCACGAGCGCTGGCTCTCTGAACAGTGTTTGGTTCGCTTTGGCGATCGGACTGTAGGCCACGACCGCTATATTATTCTCGTGGCAAAAGTTCACTAATGGCTCCTGAGTTAAGTAGGGGTGGATCTCAACCTTAAAAGCAAATCAAATTATTGTTATATAAAAAACAAACATTCAATTTACTAACTGTATATAACTAATACCTGATTAACAAGTGGTTTAACGTAACCATTCTTCAAAATATGTTGCAATTGAGTGATATTGAAGTTGGACACGCCGATGGCCCTGGTCAGATTGGCGTGATATGCCTCCTCCATTCCCTGCCACGTCTCGTATAAGTCCACAGAGAGATCGCGCGTCAGTCCGTTCTCATCCACGGGTATGAACTCTCCGGTGTCTTCCCTGAAGGCCATTGGGAAGTGAATGAGCGCTAAATCCAATCGTTTGAGGCCCAGGTTTTGAAGCGACTCTTTTAGGCCCCGCATTACGGATGCCTTTCTGTGAAACGTATTCCACAGTTTGGTCGTCACGAAGAGATCGTCTCTTTTGATGACATTCTTGTCAAACAATTGCTTGAGTTTATCGCCGATAAACCTTTCATTGCCGTAATGGTATGCGGTGTCGATGTGTCTGTAGCCCACTTCGATCGCCTCCTCCACAATGCGTTTAGCGGTCAACTCATCCGTTATCTTATACGTACCCAAACCTATTTGAGGTATTAGTACTCCATTTGTCAACGCAATTGATGGCACCCTTTGCACTGTTAAATATCATAAATAGATTCATTTTATAGTATCAACTAAATGGTCAAATAATTGTATTGTAATTTACATCTTAATATACCCTACTTATATAATATTATATTATAGTTATAAAACTTTCTGCTCTCTCTCTCTCTCTCTCTCTCTCTCTCTCTCTTTCTCTTAATTCTTTCTTTTTGTCTCTGAATATTATATAATTTTAAAGAATATTATAAACTAATAATAATTTTGAAACGACAAATACATACCCGCATTGGAAGAGCTGATAACCCAAACAATAAGCGCAACAGATATGATGCCCAGCATTACGACTGTTAATATTATTCTTAATGCTTTCGATGACAACATTCAAACACTTTATTTATGAAACCTTTTTGAAAGCAATAATTTGTTTTTTAAATTTCGGGGAAATTTTTTTATTAATTAAAATTCATTTATGTCTCTTATCAACAAATTTTGTCTGACATCCAATGGTTGTGTGGATGAGTGACAGACAGTATCATAATTGGAAGTAATGTATAGGCGTTTTGACAAAACTGGTTATGTATTATACTATAGAAGTGGTTCTAGAGGTGACCAGAATATTATATTTACATACATTTATTTTGCAAATTATTACATGTATGTGAAGTCTGATTTATCATTAGATAAATCACTTAATTTCTTATTATTTTTATAAAGTCTTATTGTCATATATTTTAAAACTAAACTTTAAACAATAAGCCACTCCCGGATCGCCCCCACTCTCTGTCTATCTCTGAATGTTTCTATGCATGTGAATGTATCGGTGTTTTTAATTGAGATGCTATATTGTAGTGAAGGTTACATTAATTTAAATGTAAGCTAAATTGTGATCTTTTTTGTTGTTGGCATAAAATTCAATGTATTTGCAGTCTCTCTCTCTCTCTCTCTCTCTCTCTCTCTCTCTCTCTCTATTCTTTTTGTTTGCATATTATATTTAAATATTTATCAAAACATAGATCTAATAGAAAGTTATAAAGTTTTTAAAGTTATTAAATAGAAGGCCAACACATTTTTGAAATTTTATTTGTTTTTGTTAATTAAAACTGTGGTTTAAAATAACTCTTCAAACATTCGTGTATTTAATTAAAATAATTAAGTTATAAAGTTTTTAAAGTTATTAAATAGAAGGCCAACACATTTTTGAAATTTTATTTGTTTTTGTTAATTAAAACTGTGGTTTAAAATAACTCTTCAAACATTCGTGTATTTAATTAAAATAATTAAAAATTTTAATAATAAGAAATTGCATAAAGATATTCATCGTTTTGAAATATAAAATAAAAGAGAATTACTTTTTTAAAGATACATTAATATTCATTTGTTTAAATTATTTTATTGTTTTTATTTTTGCAATTCATTTAAACCCATAAGAATTACATCAGAGATAAGAAAAGGAGAATATTTTGGCAAATAATATAAAACGAGAATTGGGTACCAAAATTTTTTTAAACTTTTAATATGAATTCAAAAATAAAATTACGTTCATATTAATCATTAATTTAGAATATATAGAAATTGACAAAAACACATCTACAGTATTATTGGCATTAATTATAACATTATCAGTGAACTCAACAACTGTTTATTGTTGTTATTTTTAGACTTATTTAAAGTCTATATGAAAAGGATATTCACGATTCCTAACCGATTCCTCTTTAGTGAATAGTCTCTTATTCTTATTCAACGCAAATATTTTGCTCATCTCTTCGTCAGTCAATTGAAAGTCAAATACATTGAAGTTCTCAATAAGTCTATCCTGTTTTGTGGTTTTGGGTATAATTATGATCTCTCTTTGTGTGAGCCATCGGAGCAACACTTGTGGTACAGTCTTATTATGATTGACAGCGATCTCATTGAGAACCGTCTCATTTAGTAGACCGGCGTCCGCTCTCCCCAAAGGACTGTATGCTGTGATCGCAATGTTTCTCGCCTTACAATAGTTAACCAACTTTTCTTGCGATAAATACGGATGTGTTTCGATCTGAAAATACATTTAAAACATTCAATTTGTTTTCATTTATCAATTTACAGTATACTTAATATATTGTTATTGTAATACATTATTGCATAACAAAAAACATTCTCAGACTCAATGGTTGTTTGCACTCAAAATATTAGATAACATTATTTATACATAACATTATATAATGAATTAAATCAATACCTGATTAATAACTGGTTTTAATTGAGTTTGTCTTAGAATGCGTTCAATTTGCTCTGAATTGAAGTTTGAGAGACCAATACTTTTAGTTAATCCCAATTTGTAGACGTCTTCCATTCCCCTCCAGGTCTCGACAACAGTGGTGTCGGTATCGATGTTGGCGTCGAGCGTGTAATTTGGCCGCAAAATACCGGTCCCTTCTTTATAAGCCATCGGCCAATGAATCAAAAGTAAATCCAAATAATCTAAACCCAAATTATTGAGCGATAGTTTGACGGCATTCAACACACTATGCCTTCTATGGAAAGTACTCCAGACTTTGCTCGTTATGAACAGATCCTCGCGTTTGGTCTGGTTTTGAGCGAATATATCACTTAATGCCCGACCGATAATACGCTCATTTAGATAGACATAAGCCGTGTCTATATGTCTATAGCCTATGTTTATGGCATCTTTGATGCGATCGGTGAGCACTTGCGAGTCTTGCATCTGAAAGGTTCCCATTCCTATCTGTGGCATCACATTTCCGTCGACCAATTTAATACTGGGCACTTTTGGCACTGCATATTACAGTATCATATTTAATACTTCATTAGTAAGATATTAGTTTTAATTTTAAATATATTTAAATAAATACTGACCTCCGATCACAATTCCATAACTCAAACAGAATATAAGATTCACAGCAATTATTGAATACATTTTTCTGGCCATCGATTATCAAATAATTGTATGAAGTAATGGATTGTGACTATAATTCAATGCAAACGCTTTACAACAAACTTTTTTCTTTTTAAAACTTTTTTTTATCAAAAAATACTTTCAGTTGATTTCAATTGATTAGAAAATTGTTAAAATGTCAGCCAAGGCTAATGATATCAACGCTTTTTACTTTTATTTCCACTTTATTTCTAATAATAAAAGTATTTTTTGAATTTCATTATAAAGTCACCAAAAAAAGTTCAAGGATTGGATGCCATCAGAGTATATGATAATTAGTTTACAACGTTATAAACATTATAGCATTAATTGTCTAACAAAGTAGACATAAATAAGTATAAATATTTTGAAGTTAAATAACACACAAAAACAAAATATCTATTTTTACTAAAAATAATTATATCTTATTATAATAAACATAACAATTATATAAATATTTTGAAAATTTTATAATCACCCAGAGGTAATTACAACTAGATTTATTTATTTGTTATTCATACACAATTATGTATCTTTCCACTTAACTGCAAAAATATTTTGTTTAAAATGAACTTTTTTGACAATTTTATAAATTTTATTTTATTTCAAAGAAAATTATATATTTACGATAAAATTAATATCTAGTAATTAACACGTTTAATATATCAATCATTAAAATACACGGAAATGGCAGTGAATTAGCGCCGATAGGGAATAGCGAACGGATATTCCCGACTGTCGATAGACGCGGTCGGAGTTATGAGACGTTTATTCTTATTTAACGTAAATATTTTCTTCATCTCGTCGTCAGTCAATTGGAAATCAAAAATATTGATATTTTCCTGAAGTCGACTCGTCTTTGATGTCTTTGGTATGGGAACGATGTCTCTCTGGATGAGCCAACGGAGCATCACTTGAGCCACCGTTTTGTTATTGTGTTCAGCGATTTCAACCAATATCGGCTCATTCACCAGCTCTTTGTCCGCCCGTCCTATCGGACAATAGGCGACAACATTTATGCTGAAATCCCTACAGAATTGGACCAATTTTTCTTGCGATAGATATGGATTTAACTCAATCTAAACGCAACATAAATAAATGTTAATCATTGGACAGAGTATTACTTTCATTACAACATAGTTTTGTTAGATATAGTTTATAAACCTCTTAACCTTCAAAATTATTTTAACTCAATTTTTGAAATGTCAAAGTATTTTATGACATAAACTATCAGTTAATCAATGATTAGTAATCATACATGTTATCGGACACACATGTCTTGAATTAATTTTTTTTGGTAAAATACCTATCTACATTTATATCAACACTAATGGCATAAGATTAACATAATTTGCACGTGTAAGGTAAGATCTTATAAATTGATCACGATAATTATATACTGTGGGATTCCCAGTTCTCAACTGTCATGAATTATAATTTGATTGACATTTAATATGAATACCTGATTGACAACTGGTTTAACAAAGGCCTGCTTTAAGACACGCGTCAATTGTTCAGAATTAAAGTTAGAGACACCGATACTTCTGGTCAGACCGAGTCTATAGGCGTCTTCCATCCCTTTCCACGTCTCGACAACACTTATGTCCACGTTTTGGGTCTTATTGTTCTCATCCAAAGGCCGCAAAAATCCGGTTCCGCTTCTGAAGGCCAGCGGCCAGTGGACTAACGACAGGTCCAAGTAGTCGACGCCTAACATATTCAACGATAACTTCATGGCCTCAACGACTTGCGA